GGTGTGAGTTAGAGGTTAGGTAGGCGAATGCCCGGCGGTGAAACGCGAAGGCGGAAAGAGCGAAGAAAGAGAAAAAAGATAAAGAAATCAAATCGATACCTTAGCGGGGCTTGAGTTGGCGACGCGGAGCGCGTGCGACCGAGAGAGAGACCTCAGGGCGAGGTGAATAGCGTCACTGCGTCTAGCTTAAGGAATCCAATGAAGTGTGGAAATGCATAATTATTGGGGAACCTCGCGAAGAGGCTTGGACTTAAGGTAGTTCCGCAAGGCGATGGCAGGTGGCAGTGTCGTACAGTGTCGGTTAGATCTAGTGTGCGTTAGATCAGGGAATACTATAATATCCATATGTCTGCCCAGGCTGGACTGATATTGCGAAGATACCAACGATCATGAGAGTGAGAATATAAATGGAAAGAAGACTACGAGGAAGAAGAAGAAAAAGAAGAAGAAGAAGAAGAAGGAGAAAAAGAAAAAGAAAAAGAAAAAGAAAAAGAAAAAGAAAAAGAAAAAAGAAAAAGAAAAAGAAATGCTGCGATCAAAGGGAATAATTATTATAGATATAATTTTGTCATGCACACGCGCTGTCGGCCCGCTCGCGACCAGTTTGAACGTATGAAAACGGCCGAAGAAAGTCATATTGGTAGTCAACAGTGACCGACGCACGAGCGCCATCTTCATGTACATTAGCATAGCCTGAACCTGACGAGCGATGATGGGAGCAAAGGGAATATTATAGATAGGATTTTATCATGCTTTCTTCTACCGCCCCTCAGCTATCTTTCAACCCGCCTTTCCTTCCACCGGTGACCGGGATGAAGTTTTGCACCCTACAGGCTAGGGCGTTTTCCTAATTATAAGCACAGGTCTACTGATAACAATTTATTACATAAATCTACGCTGAGATGCGATATTAAATGCATATTCATCATAAAAGATATCGCACATGCGCTAACACACGAACGTAGCTAGAGTGTGTACAGACTTGTATACAACGCGATATACGCGACCTTCCAAAAAGCAGTGCCCCTACATTGAAGTAGCGGTGCAGTTTTCGATTCGCACCTTCTGTAGATATGCCACACTCTTGATTAAATGCTTAGGCCACACTTAAAAAATTGTTTGTTTCCCCTTTACCTACTCGCCTCTCAGGGTACCTGAGGTACCTACAGTAGGTAGGTAGGTAGGTGAGAAATCTTTTTTATTTTGTTTTGACAAGATGTGTGTATGTATATTGTATATTCTGTTTTGTGCATATGTGCGGAACGAATTTGATTTTTTTTTTTTTGGCGAAATGAACTAAATTTTTGTTTGTTTTAATCGGCCAATAAAACGTGTCGAGTAGCGCGTTTTGGCGAGTCGGTCGGTAAAGGGCAAACAAGCAATATTTTATCTTAGGCCTTATAACGTCAGCCCTACGTTATTTCCTTTGTGCGATAGGTCGCACACGTGTCCGCGCCCTATCTCTGTACATTGCTATATATATATATGACTGTTTTTGATGTTTCAGGTAACAATGAAAAACAACAACAACAACAACAACAACAACAACAACAACAACAGCAGCAGCAGCAACAATCGGATTAGTGATGTACTCGAATACCGATTTATAAAAGTGAGAAGTCACGATTGAACGTCAGGTCGGTGTTAATATAGAAAGTCCCTTATATCTATTGATATATACACATCAAGAGCGTATTAAGAATCTTGTTAATACTCTCTTCATACACATGTATATATCTTACTTATATCAGAGCACTTATATCAACGTTGATTTATATGCTCTGCTTATATTGAGGGACTCTACGGTAAACAGGCTTGTCCTGTCACCTGGCGCCCAAAAACATTACGAATCGAATATTTTCATAGTAAAATTCGGTTACGTCAAGTAAGTATCCACTACGTATCAGTTTGTCTCTTGCACCGCAGGAGCAGCGGTCTTCGACTGTGAACGGCCGGAAGTGGCTGGGAGTGCGTAGATATCCTATACGCTACATATATAACTCCATATAATTATAGGTATCTATGCGTGAGAGCGGGAGAAACATCGTAACAACGCGACAGACGTTTCCGCGAACTCGTGAGAAGCGCGCGCTCACTCGCCGCTTGCTTTTGCGAGTCATAAACGATGACGACAACGACGCCGACGACGACGGTGACGACGACGCCGACGACGACAATGCCGATGACGACGCCGATGACAACAATGCCGACGACGACGACGACGACGCAGACAACGACATGGCTCTAATTGTTTCCCACTTTGACTGCGTCGGAATGACAATATCCAATAAAATGTGCTCGTTTAATATGAATTTATTCCGCGCGCCGCACTCACTTAACCTGCTTTCCTGAACTCCGACCCTTAATAATATCCACACTGATATATATATATTAAAATTACTATGATATATATATATATATATATATATATATATATATATATGTGTGTGTGTGTGTGTGTGTGTGTGTGTGAGAGTGTACAGGTTAAGTGAGTGCGACGCGAGGAAGAAATTCATATTAAGCGAGCAGCTTTTATCGGATATTGTCGTTTCGACGCAGTTAACGTGGGAAACAATTGGAGCCATGTCGTTGTCGTCAGCGTCATTTATCACCTGCATACATAAATATATAATATATATATATATATATATATATATTTATATTTGTGTATTTATTTATTTATATATATACATTTAGCACCACTACCACGGGAACATACTGCTCTCATCCTCTATTGCACTCAACAGAAGAAAACAACAACAAAAAACTTTCAGCTTCAAGATCACAGTAACAGGATTTTAATCTTTCAAAATTCGGCTTCAAGTACAGCAGACGGTGCCGCCCTCTACGTCGGCTGCGTTACCACGACGACGAGTCGCTGCGGCTTCGACGAGACAGCGCGAAAATCTACCGGGTGTAGTGTGGCATAAATCCCCCCTGATGGCAAACCTCCCCCCATTCTACACTGCACATGGGCGTGGGCACGTCTACCGAGTGCATGGTGAGTTGCACACGCACGTCGGAATTCGAACCGTATCGCGCGTGCGAAATGTCATCAAGGGGGGACGTTTGACATGAGGGAGGTGCATACCACGCCACGCCACCCCTCTCTCGACGTCACGAGCCACCTTCTCCACCGCCGCCCCTCTCTCGACGTCGAAACAACCCGAATAAATACTACTACTAATAAAATTCGGTGAGCCACGCGCGCGGTACCCCCCCGGCACCTCCGTACCCTCGCTCGCGGTCCCAAAACATTATTTCGCGCGGAGGTTAAAATAATTCGATAAACCGCGCGTCGCCGTCGCTCGCGTGGCTCCCTCTGTAGGAGCGGCAACGAATGAAACGACCATCGCCGGAGGAAGGCGGCGGCACCGACACGTACGTCTCTCTCGTCGCTTCTCTCGACCATCTGACTTTCGATCTTGACATTGTCGAATGCAGAAGCGATGCAAAGACTGACCGGAGACTGACAAAAAGTGACAGAAAAAGAAACGGAAAAGTGACAGGAGACTGGGAGACGAGAGCCGACAGACTCGGTGCGGCAAGCGCGCGCGCGGCTCCACCCGGAGCAGCAGACGACTTCCCGAACATTCCGCCGTCGTCGCCGGCAACGCACCGCCTTCGAGTCACCGACCCCCGTCATGTACCGCCACCTGGTGGTGGCAATTGCGCGCGTTGACATCTATGGAGACCCAGCAGTAGCGAACTCTGGCAATAGTCCACCGCGTCCACCACCACCACCAACATCAGGTAAACTTAAACTTAACTTTACGTCAGGGAAACTTTACGGTACGAGGGATTCCCCGTAAGGGGACCGAATACATATGTAGGTTTAACACGTAGGCAAATTTCTTCTTATTCCTGGTTACCGCAGTCCTTTACCCTCGCAGCACGGTAACCCCTACCGCTAATCAAACGTTCGGTAAACTTTACGGTACGAAAACATGTAGGTGAACTTTTCCGTACTAGCAGGCCCTCGCACAAGGATAGCCTACCACTAGTTAAAGTGATTACGTCACCGTAAATAGTACAAAATAAAAAAATATTTCCACTTTTTCACAAAATATAAGTAATTCTGTTCACTTTTATGGTTAAATTGCTGCATTATACTTCCTATTTTACTATATTGTTCGATGTGAACATACACTC